CCATAATTATAAAAGTACAGATTGCTAATTGTATCTTTGGGAGAGCTTTTCCCATGAGAAAGGGGAGGATGCTCTCATATTTGACATAAACGGGGATGTTTTACTGAACAGGGTATAGTTTTAAAGTTTAGGGTATAATTTTATAGCTGTAAAGCAGGTTCTATGGCATTACTATTTAAATTCTTGGAAAGGGTATTTGTTTGTTTTTAGCCTGTGTACTGTACTGTACTGAGGGGGGATCCCAAATGACAGCCTGACGGGAGTAATCGTCATATCTTCTCGGGGTTCAATTCATCCAGTGTAGCTTAGTACTGATAGGTATGTTAAAATCTAAAATGATCACTGTTGAAATTATTTTGATACCTTTTAATTTCAGGGAAGAAACTGAAATAAACTATGGCAGGAAGGACTTGTCACAAAGAACTGTTACCTTGCTTGGATGAAAATCAATTTATGCAGTATCTAGAAAATGCAATTCTGGTAGTGTTTAGGGTCAGGGCATTCAAACTTTTTAACAATAAGGCCCATCAATTTTATTTGAGATTACTTTTACATGTTTTCTTATTTATCTGCCCACAAAATTTTACATTTTCATTGTGACTTTTTTGGTCAAGACCGTGTTATTAGACAGAAGGAAACCTGAGTGACTTCTAATATCCCCTTCATGTGCACTAGCTTATTAATAAATGATTAAATCAATGAATCTTCGATCCTATGATTTGTCAAACTCTCTGTTCAATGAATTTATAGGAAGGAAAATTTAAATTTCCTGCACCAGGAGATGATCATCGTCTTTTCTTGTCCTCACCTAATTACAAAATTATTAGCACAGAGACCAATGAAATAATCGCATCCAGACAATCATTCTATACGCACTCGACAAGCTAAGTTTGGAAATAAAAGTTGCAAATACTACTTGTGATGAAAATTTTTGTTGCATTTTATAGTTCTTCATTCAGACGATTAATTTTTTCATCCACGTTTCAAACATTTTACACACATACATTCTCTTTACCACCTATCAGCTTGAGAAACACTCAAGCTTTAGTTTATTTTGGTGTTGACAATGTTTTGGCTTCTAAGAGCTCTAGGCATGACCAGTGATAATTTAACTCCTGCACCATATAATAATTTCTCTTGTGAAATTTTATAAACTCAATAAACCAGTTTTGATATATGAAAATTCAGCCAAAAATAATGGACCTCACTACAAGGTTCTGGGAAGTAACTACAGAGTTTGTGGGGCTTAATCCCCAGAGCCTTGTGCTGAGGTCTGTTGTGCTAGGCTGAATTTTAATTTAGTAAAATTGGGCTAGTACAGCCAATCTCATTTCCAGAGCCCTCTCTCATCCTGTGCCACTGACTGGAAAAGTGAAAACTCTGGGCATGACAAGTTAACAAATTGACGTCAGTTGTTCATGCGTCTGTCCTGTTATTGATCATGAATTTCATCATAACATTGTCAAAGTAGCTGTGATCCGCAGATCTACTTTGACAATGTTATGATGAAATTCATTGTCAATAACAGGACAGATGCATGAAAAACTGATGTCAATTTGTTTTTTACGATAACAAATTGCCAAATTGTCCACTCTCGCTTGTTGACGCATCGCAAAAATTATAAATTAATGTGTTTGTCCACTTATTGACAATGAAAATTAGCCACGCACTGAGCGTGCAAGAATTTCTGCAGTTATTGTAAAATGATATTTTGAGAGACAACTCCTGCTTTGAAAAATAGTGCTCTCTTCTTATTTTGAGCTGAAGGACACTAAATATCACTGATATCTCGGTAAGTAACCACCAAACAATTTTAGTTTTCATTTTGTTAATCCCAATGTGACATATAATATTAGTTATTGAAAGATGTTTGTGAGTTTTAAGTGAGTTTTAACTACATCTAAAACATACTTGATATAATGTAAATATATTCATTAAATCTACTGAACGTTAGTCAAGAGAAATGGGAGAATTGAACTAGAACTGTCAAGTAAAATGTGAAAATAAACTGGACAATCGTCAATCATAACATCTCCAGAACTATGATCCTAATCCTTACTCTTCTTCTTACTATTCCTTAATAACATCAAGTTTGTCAAGTACTCCTTTGGAGAGTTTCAGAACACAGCCGCTGAATGTATCTTTATTGTCTTCGGCGATCATTTTCACTGGTATGGTTGTCTTCTTGATCCACTTGTCCTCTGTAGGGTCATAGCATTCAACATTCAAGTCACTTCGCCAATAGTCAGATGCGCCACCCAGCACATAGAGTGTTCCCTTCAGACACACCATACTGCCATAGCTGTGTACATCATTCAAACTTCTAACAATCTGCCATTCATTTGTTAAAATATTGTGCATCTCACATGATCGCGGAGACGACCTCCCTCCAGCCACAAAAATCTTTCCACTGGTTGTCACACCAAAAGCACCCTCTCTCCTTTCCTGCATGTTTGCGATTGTCTCCCATTTGTTTTCCATAGTATCGAATCTCTCAGCTTTCTCAAGGCAAAAAGAACCTTTTGGCCTCCCGCCACAAACATACAGATGATTGCCAGCCGCAACAACACAAGAATCTTCCCTGCAGCCCTCATGAGATGACAAAACCGTCTGCCATGAGCACCGCTCAACGTCGTATCTTTTGACCGTGGATTTTTCCGTTGATGTATTGACCTCTATCGCATAGAGTTCGCCTCTAACGACAGCCACCTTAGTAGACCTTGTGATGGACAAGTCCAAACTAGACCAGCAATTAAAAACGGGATCATACCTCTCTGCCTTACCAGTCTGTGGAAAGGCGTACAACTGATCACGGTAATTTATCATCTGGGTATTTGAGTTTCTTTTCTCGGACAACCCGTCTGCTAAACGCTTCCATTCGTCTTTCTCTGGGAGATAACAGAAAGTGTATTTCCCTCCACAAGAAACGATGGCGCGGGTTTCGAGACTTTTTCTCGCCGACTGAGAAAAATTTCCTTCCACTGGAAAAGCCATCAGCTTTATAGCATCTAAGACCGGCCCCAAACAACGAGAATTTCCTTGCACGAGTTCATTTGTCACAACATCGATTAGATAGTCACGCGATAGGGAAGCGAGACGCACGTGACCAAACAATTGTTCAAAAAATGCTTTTCGCTCGCTTTTGTTTTGTTCAATCCACTTTAATACGATTTTAAACACATCTGCTTCAACAGCAACAGAAATTTCGTCACTTGAAATCCACCTCTCGACCTCTTTAACTTCCAAGTTTAAGAATTCATCCATTTCTGCCACAGATGCAAAGTTTGCGTGGATAAACTTTCTGGTGTTGGTGATCAGTTCGTCGCACTGGTATATCTCAGCAAAATAAAAGGTTGAAATACAATTTGATTTGGACATCTGTCGTTCTAGAAATCGCCCGGAAACTGTTTTCAAGGCCGGGATGAGAAGATAGTTCGCTGCAGTTATAAGATCCTCGGAATTTTCTTGAGTTACCTCGACNGATCTCTTCAAACCGAACAATCCCTTCTCGATTCTCTTTCATGTCGCTCTGAAGAAGCTTCAAGAGGAATGGGCTCGCTGCAGAAAGCACATTTCTATGAGCTTTGAATTCTTTGTCATCTTTCGTCACCAAAGTTACGTCGCATAAATGATCTTGCCTTCGCAGCATGTTAAGTCGTTTCGCCAATTCTACACAGAAAGTAGCTTGTTCAGCACCAGAGATTGGCTGTAGATCTTCCATATTCCGGAAACTTAGTGCAGTAAATTAGAGATTCCTTTAGAACCGTTTAGATGGCCTCAAATACTAGCTCTATGAAATCACGACCGACTGCGATCGAAAGCGAAAGTCTCTTTCTGCGGAAGTGGAAAGGGACACTGCAAGTGGGATGACGTCATTGACAAGATTGGAAAAGACTGGACTGTTGACTGGCCTGGCCTGGCCTGGCCTGGCCTGGCCTGGCCTGGCCTGGCCTGGACTGGACTGGACTGGACTGTAAAACGTGGACCTGTAAAACGTGGACCTGTAAAATGTGGGCTTGTGAAAATCGCGAACTTGTAAAACGAGCACTTGTAAAAAG